TCGCACGGCTGACAGAACAGCGCCGCGCAGGTGAAGCCCTGGCCGCCCCGGCGAGCACAGCGGGCACAGCGCGAGCACCGCGAGCACCTCCGGCCCCGACCCCGAGCGCGCCACGAGCGCGACCCCGCGAGCACTTGTAATTGGATCTGGCTTACGCGCGTAAAAGTTTTCTGCCCTCGTAACATTTTCGTCGAGCGAGTCACGAAGTCGAACAAGTGGCGGATCTGCTCCTCTGCCCGGCGGGCGCGCGCGGGCCGGTCCACGGCCGCGGGGCGGGGCGGGGCGCGCGGAAACCTAGCGGGGAACGCAAAACGTTAGCTCCTTAATGACTGCCAAAACGGAAAGCAGAGGGAAATGGGAGGGTGGGGGAGACGCACACGTCGCACAAGAAGTTGATCCAAGACAAAGGTACCCCCTCAGTGCGCGAGCCGGGCGAAGACCAGGCGGGCAGCCCGTGCTGGCGGGCTGGCAGACGAGCGGGCAGGCAGGCAGGCGGCCGGGCCAGAGACGCTCTGCTCTTGTGCGCTCGTTAAAACTTCAAAGCCTCCGGCAAGCGAGTGAAGGATATGCCCCGCAGCAGTCGCAGTGCCCCGCCGCGCCCCGCCCCGCCGCGCCCCGCGCGCGAGCTCGGCACACGGTACGTGTTTGAGGACTCGGACGAATAAATCATGCAGCTTGGGCCCGGGCAGCCAGCGGCCCTGCCGAGGGTGTGGCGCGGTGCGGTGCTGGACACCGGCCGTTCGGTCCGTGCCGGAGCAGCGCGACGAGTTGTCGCGGTATGTGCAGTGCTCCAGGGCGCGAGAGCGGCGCTGCACTCCCGCGACAGACATTGTCGAACAAGCAGCAGCAGCAGCAGCAGAAGGGAGAAAACAAAAGCAGGCGCGACTGGGGCGCTCCTCTTTAAAAGTCATAAAAAATGAAGACGGCCGCCGCCGCCCCGCGCGCCGCGTGGGGTCCGCCTTATTCATCCCGCCCTCGTTCTCCTGCTCCTCGAAGAGTGAGAGGTCGACACGGGGGAGGTGGCCGGAGAGAGTGTAACGCCAACCTGAGGGGGTGTGCGATAAGAGCGTGTGGCTGGCGAACAAGACCAATGTTTATTCATCGGAGGACACGGCGCATGTCAGCGTGAGCTCCGCGCCCCGCACAAGAAGCGCCTGCTGCCGGCAAAGCGGCAGGGCGCGCGGGAGCGCCAGGACGGCTGCTGGCGATATCGCTCTCAGCCTTTGCCTGGTTCAGGACTGAGGGGTCTGAGCCCGGCATCGCATGGGGCGCGCTGTGGAGCGGGGGGCGGCGCGGAGGGGCGGCG